TATTTAACTTTTTCCACAAACTGCAGAAAACCCCCAGAACCACCACACTCGCACATCTACACTCTTCCAAAATCCCTACTACCTTTTGCTACATGCTTTTTCACTTCATGCAGTTTCCCATAATCTCCACATATCCTTATCAGCTGCACTCCTCTACCCAGAGTTTCAGTCATTAAACTGAAATAGGAACCAAAAAATGTGTTTGACTCTCTTCAAGAAATCAGGAAGGCAGAGGCAGGAAAGATGGAAGAATAATTATAAAAAAATGTAACTGTCTCTTGTGGTCAAATTTTCTCTGCCTGGCTGGCTAACTAAACTGTGTATGCATTTCTAAGAACTCAAAAACACAATCTTGAGGTTGGAAAACCAGTTCCATTGCTGTTTGAGGTGGCTGGCTTTGCACCTTAGTCTTTTCCAGGCAATTCACTTACTACACCCTGGAATACAATTACACTGAAGCTAGAATAAATTTACAATGGAGAGTAACTATCACCATTAATGAGTGTGTGCGCAAAGCATGTAAAGACTTTAAAAATCAAGATTTGCTTTAACAGTATAAGCCAAGCAAAAGAAAAAAATGCAATAATGTCTATCAGTCAGATTCACATACTCAAAACATTGAAAAGAGGAGCATGAAATACGCACCATTTAAAAATAACATTAACTATCAAGCACCTAATAGGCCACTTGCTTCAACAACCAGTGAATGAAGAGATTGGAACAAATCCACAGAGCTAATTAAGCAAAACAACCAAGGCACAAGGCATTTCCTCAGGACTGATGAGCAGCTGCCCAGGGAAGGGACAGAGAGGAAGAGGCTGGATAGCTGGATGTGAGGTCAGGGAACCCTAGCAGACATTAAATCCCAATAAATTTCTCCTACCAAAACTGTTATTATTATTACAAGACATAAATTTTAAACTGACATATGCTTTTTGTTATGAGTGACATAAGTTAAATTAATATATTGAAAGCATTCTATAAAATAGATCCTTAGAATTTTTCATACTTCAGTCAATGTGAAATAACGAGCATAACAAGACTTGTAAAATGCTGTGCCTGAAAAGAATCAGGAATTACATCCTAGGCAAGCAAAAATGTTATTTAAACTTAGTAATTGGCAAATACACCTGTAACTCATTGAAATTCACTTGTTTGGGTTTTCAATCCAAATATAATATTTGAGCATACCTATCTATATAATTTTTATTTCAGCTTGATTAGTATAAATAACAGCATCAAAACTTTACAACAATTCATATGAACCCCAGACTAGTGGATGCCAATGTACCTAAAAATCACACAGAATTAAAATAGCAATTTGCAAATTAAGAAAACAAGAATCTAGCTCACATGCCTCTATAGCCAAAGTAGAGAGCTCTCCTAAAACCCTTAAGGGCTTTTAACTTGTATTTAAATCACAAAGGATTAGATTTCTAAAGCTTCTTTCTGAATTTAATTGGGCAAGTATAACTTTTAAAGTACTCCATCTGCCTGGAGCACAGCAGCTGTGATGGGAAGTGGAGAATGCTACTGCAATATTTGGATAAATTCTCAAACAAAACTGTAAAAAGCCTCCAGTAATTAGTGGACGATATGAGAATTCAGAACTTGGCACTGAAACTTTATTTGCAGAAACTGTTTGACTTGTTTATTGTGTATACTTGTTTCCAGTGAACAAGCAGAACAGTCATTTAAGTGACTTAACGCTAGCATATAATGAAAGTAAAATTTGGTATTAATGTACATATTTGTTTCCTTGATACCTTACACAACATTTCTCTTTGCAGTGAAATCATCCAACACTCATGTTCTTCTAAAACTTAATAATAGAATAATATCACATTATTACTTTGCTTAAATTATATTACATTGCCTAAATGTTACATGAGGCTAGATAACAGTTTGCTATATTCTGTAACAAGATCTTTCCCACTGCACCCATCTCATCAATTCTTGTAAATTAAATATAGTAAAGTTTGTGCAATGCTTAAATAAAAAGCACACTAAGATAATGGAAGTAGTAAGGCTAATGAAACCGCCAGTGAATTAACAGGGAACAGGATTAACAGCAAATTAACACTATGCTGGGAATTTAGCCCCAGTCTTTAAAATCACTGTAATCCTAAAAGCAAACTATGTTTGATTATTAAACATCCCATAGAATATTTTTCATATTTTGCATAAATTTCTCCTCTTATCTCTATGCTATTCTATTCTAGCAGCTGGTTTCAGATTTAAAATAACTTATTAAAAATACAGGAAAGATATTTCACATACAGGTACATCTCATAAGTGAGTTTTGAAATTCAGGACTTAAAATCTGCTACTAGTCCAGCACTATTCATCGCATATACTGAATTTTGGCTCAAACTATTCTGGAAAGATTTGGGTAGGAGAATTCATATTTGTGAGGAAGTCTATCACACAGATTATTTGGGTAAGAAACAACAAAATCATCCTTAATACTGTAGAAACCTGGAGTAAGAAGTCCTGGCTAAAATGCATAGAAGTTAAATGTACATAATTTGAACACACTATATATGGCATACACTCACCTATATGTCCTATCTCAGGAAGCCATAACAAAACTAAATTTGTAACAGAAAGGTTGCCAACAAAATTCTATCAAAGTAACTTACATTTTGACATAAAACATTGAAGCAACGAGATTAGTCTTGGCCTATGTGATTGCTAGTCGTCTGTGAGGCTGTCTACTCACATAGGTGAAGTGCAAGACTTAGTTTTTACTTTTAGTGCCTTTATATTTTCTTACTGCAGCTCTAGTACCTCACATGTTCATTAGCAATGCGTTGTTACCTGTCTTTCCCATACCCTGTTGTGCCAGCAGTCAACACATCATAGCACATGGGTTCATACCCCAGGAACAAGGAAACAATACACTGCACAACCCTTCTGTCAGTAAAACGTACCATTAAACAGCCTGGGTGTGACTGCCTAGCTTAAAGGAATCATCCATGTGTACACTTGAGCGCAAATTTACGAACGACCCATCCTGCTACTCAATGCAGGGGATGCATCCATAATCTGCATTTGGAGTGACAATTCATTAGCACTTCAAATTTCACTAATAATACTGTTTTTATAGAATAAATACAGAGAACTGGAAAGCGGTCAAAGCTCATTACACCTTAACCTATGAATAAAATGTCTTTGTGGCAAACTTTCTCATAATTGAAGTACCAGCAGTGACAAATGGGTGGAAGCTTTATTTTTTTGGGGTACAAAAACGATTAATGGTTATATTACACTTGAAAAAGACTAAAATACTTGCAAGTAAAATTTTGATAACAGCTGGCTCCATAATAAAGTACTTTATCTCTTACTTTCCTCCAGTCTTCCTAATGTAATACATCGTTGTTATGACTATATTATTGTCCTAACTTTTTTCAGAAATGTAACTTTTACTGGTCACTCAAAATGTTTAATGTTCGTTTTTTCACGATGAGCTCTGGACAAATGTGACAAACCGCAGCTTTACAGGCCAGTCTCCTGCATGCAAATTGAGTAGAACACTTTACACGTATGTGCAGCCAATTTCAGTGTTGATTCCCAAATAATCGATACTGCATGGGAAAGAGATTTCATCTCCCCAGAAAAGGTTCCATTTGCATTAATCGCATTTTAAAATAGATTTATTTTTCCTTGCCCAAGAGTTGTACTCAAATCTGAACACTTTGACATGAGCAACTCTAAAAAACAAAAAAAATTTCTGAGTTTTTTCCCTGAATCTCAACTTGCCTCCAAATTAAGAACTCACATTTGTATTGTTCATTTTTTTGATATTTCATCAATAACAAGATCTAATAGCCATTTTCAAATCTGAAAATTTAAGTTTTAAGATCTATATTTGGGACCAGATTTAGGCCTGCACACGAGTACTGATCACAAAGAGAAAAATACCGCTCTGAATATTTTGTATCCATTTTTGGTGGTTTGTATTTCATATGAAGAAAACTTCAGGCACTTCAAAATTATAAAACATTTTTCAGTTTCTATACAAATATCTCACTGCCAAAGTTACAAAACCACTGGAGATAGGAAGTTGTTAGGAGAGAGCAGAAGAAAATTAGAGTGCTTGGCAGTTAATCGACAACTGTTGTCTTTTTATTTTCAGGAAACATTTCTTGTTATTCTGCATTTGCTGGTTATTCCGTCTGGACCACTCTTCTGATGCCAAAGTATTTACAGAACTTCCCCAAATGAAATAGTCCCTTGGATATGATTGGCCTTGTATTTGCATGAACTGAATTAACAACTACACATCAGTAACTTCTCTCACTGAAACCCACTGGATGCTGTATTTTTGCCTGGTCAGAAGTGCTTACATTTTGCTTAACTGTTTAGGAAGATTAGTTTCATTTGCAACATTAAAAAGATGGCTGAAGAAGAAAAACTCTATCTAAAGAAAGCAATTCAGTTTGGTATTAATGGATATATTCCATCAGTAAAACTATGCATCAGAAATGAAAATGCCCCCAGAAGTTACTACGCTTGTTGTTTAGACAACATGCAAATAAAACTTATGTGACTGGTCCATCATAAAAAAAGCTGGATCACTAATGGAGAGCTGACTGTCAAAAAAGAGCCATCAGGAAAGCCACAGACTCAACCTTACCTTTAAATTAGTTAACTCTAAGCATAACGGCCTGTTGCAATTTTGTAATACAAAGATCATGTTAGCTTCAGAACACGAGGATTTCTGCATTCCCTAGCTAGAAGAAATCTTTCCTTAAATTTGATATGCAATTTCTTTACCTTAGTGTTTGGTCTAATCAACAATTAAATTTGAAAGAGCATCCCTAAAGAGAGCATGTCAGCTAAAAGTATACATAATAACAACAAGAATGAAAAGCTTAGCTTCTTCAGGAATAAGGTATTCATTTGCATCTTAGGAACAATCTTAATACACAGTTCAAATGACAAATGAAATGGGTCGCAAAGAAACACGTTACTTACAGACTTTAAATTGTGATTCAATGGCCCAGCAAAACATGAAAATGCGCCCAGTGCTATTGAAAAGGAACAGCTTGGATTCAGCTGATTTTATGAGACAGCCACACCATCGCAGGACCAAATCTCAGCAAGTTCGATTCAAGGATGATGGTGTGAACTCAAAGACAGAACTGGATACTAATCCTGCCCAAGATATAGCAGTCATGACTGGAAAACCAGAAATATTTAGGGATCACAGTTTTTTGCCACATCAATCTCCATCTTTTCCAAGGTCTCAGAAGGGGCTTCAGAATATTGCCATACAAACATCTCCTAGCCTCAGGAAACACCTCCCAGTTTTTAAAAAGAAGCAGCTTACAGTAAGCAAATCATTAGCAGAAATGCAAACCGAGCCTGCAAATTCTATCCAAGTAAATGGCAATCTTTCTGAACAAGATATTATGTCTTCAGATCTCTGTTACTTAAGAATAACTAATAATTTGGAAGATGGATTTAGGAATAGTGAGGTGGACCGTCAGTTAAGTCAAAGACTATCAAAAACACAGAGCAATGGACCTATCCACACAGATGATTTCTCAGTATCAGAGAAGACAACTGTTTCTACACAGGTGCCTGAATACATACATGTGAGTTTTCCACAAGTCAGCAATGTTTCCATGGATGCACCAGACACAACCATGAATTTAAGTAATTCACTGCATTCTTCTACTGTCATAAATAGCAATGAAAATAATGAAAACAGCACGCTGTCATCTAATTCTGAAAAAGCATACCGTTGCCTAAGCAATTCTACTAACTGCAGTGAACGTAATCCTCATTCTGACTCTTGTGAAGCAGATAAAAGTGTAGCCAGCAAAGATGCAAGCAGTAAGGAAACTACTCCATTATCACCTCCATCAAATCACAGTTCATCTCCTTGTTTCCTCAGAGACTATCAACAGGCAGCAGAGCACAAAACAGATTCCAGCTGTGTGACATTAACAAATGATGATCACACAATAATGTCACTGACCAGCAGTAATGGATCAAAATCTATTCGGTCATGTAAAACTGAAATCAAGAAAAATTTTACCCAGTCAGATGTTTCCCAGTGTAACAGCTGTTTAGAAGGATTTCACATAAAGTCTTATCTGCCAAGGAATGAAATAAAACCACAAACGAACAAAGAGATTAGCAAAATAAATCAAATTCATTTGGCACATGGTGAACTCTGTGCCCTACAAGGCAGGCTGCAGTCTGTAGAGGAATCCTTGCAGTTGAACCAGGAGAAGATTAAAGTCCTTTTGAATGTAATCCAAGACCTGGAAAAATCCAGAGCCCTCAGTGAAGGGTATGGTGCATTTTAATATTAGTAATTCATCAGAAGTGTAAAGTAGATGTTAGCATTCTTTTTTTTTTTGAAAAAATCTTTCCTGCGATGAGTTTGCAAAAATGGTATCTTATGCCCTTTTTCTGGTATTTGGGCCTCAGCAGAGAAGCAAGTCTCTTTATAGCTTAGCTTTAGCTGACACTGCCTTTACTAAACCCAGTGTGAAACATAGTTTATTAACTCCCTTTTTTATTTAGATTTATGGTGTCAGATACAAAGCCACTGACACCTGAGAGTTGGCAGTCTCCATCTAGCTAAAATCCATATGCAGTAGAACAACAAAACCCAACAGTCTAATGTACTAATGTAGTACAATAGAAACCTATGGCAAGCCAACTGTCTCTCACTAGCCAGGTCAGATATGCATTTAGTGCCAAAGCAGTCCTATTGCTGAAACAGTTCATATCAGAAAAAAAAACAACCTTAAAAACTTCTGTTCAATAAATTATTACTGCCTTCATAATTAAGCAAAAGTATTAGTGGCTACAGCATAGCATCTGCAGACATTTGGGGACCACATTGCTAGTTACATTTCAGGATACCACAAACAACATAGCTGCTTAAAGGGAATGCCTTAAGAATAGGAAAAGGCACAATGCCAGGTAAACTTCAAGAGCTTCAATATGTCAGGAAGATTTCATGCGAGGTGGAGGTAGGTACTTAAAAGGGATTGAAAGTATGAACATACAGCATGTGAAGATTGTTAGCAAGAACTCGCTTCAGAATCTCAAATTTTAGAATGACAGCTTTCTGCACTATCATAAGAATGCATGACCTATATTTATTTTTAGTATGCTTTCGTAGTGACTATTAGCCAAGGCTGCAAGTATTACTTATGTAACTTATTTATGCAACTCATTTATGTATTATAAATAATAATAATACTATAAATGCAACTAATGTCTAAAGGCTGGATACCTTTGTAGGACAAGGTTAAAATAGAATTTTAAATATTTCTATGCTCAAAACAGGTTTTAGAATATCCTAATAATGCTTTTCAAACCATTAACAGCAGCTCCGACTTACAGTAAATGCATCTAGGATACATTTTAAAGTTCTGGTTTATGATAACGTAGTATATCCAGCAAATAATTTTTGTCTTCAAAAAACCCACAAATAAATCTTTCAAAGTATCAAGAGAATAAAGGTTTCATTTTACTTTATTTTTTTAAAGATAAAACAACACGAAGTCTATGTTATCATACATTTACTTTTGTATTTAGCACAGCTAGCCTAGGCATCTAGAATAATCATTTATGCGCAACTGGTTTGTGTGTAAAACTGCATCCTTAATTTAAAAATCAGATCATGTGTATCAATACTATTTACTGACTACAACTAAGGAATAAATCTGATAATCTTCCACATTTCCACAAACTCTGCAAAAAGAAGGCTGCACTGAGATTTTTGTGTAGGTTCAATTGCGGAGAAATAGCACAGAACATGCTCATGTGAGTCCAGACCAGATCTTTGCACTTGTTCCCACGAGGACAGAAAAGGTTTGTGTGGCTCTGCAAAAACTGTCAGGATATAACTAACTGAAGCCACAGTTTTATACACCCCAATTTTCTTACAATTTCTGAAGAAAGATAAATCTATTTTGAAATATTCTTTCTTTCTCAAAGTATTTTATCTGGGAACTGAAATTACCTTCTTGCATTTCTGATGAATAATTCTCCAACTCACACTCCAAATACAAATTCACACTCATTTAAAAAATTAAAATAATATAAATCAAGTTAACAGGTAACTTCACTCTGTACAGATTACCTTTTTTTATCTGGAAGCATTAACCAGTAATGTCCATCTGGCTGTTAGCACGAAAATACTTCTGTTAGTTTCCACTGTGCCTGCATAAATTTTTATTCCATGTAACATTTTTCCCATATAATTCAGCCCCAACTATCCTCTGTCAGAGGGTTGTTCTTAGTCATTCTTCTCTATCCAAAAAGCCCATACAATTTTCTAGCATGAACTTTGTAATAGCCTAGACACAACAGACAAAATCCACGTAGACATACTGATAACAAAAATGCAAAAACATTTATAAAACATTTATAAAACACCGAAGCCCAAGTGTTCAGTTTAGAAGCAAGATCTGAGGCAAAGGGGGAAAGGGAGTATGTGTCAAGCTTAAGCAATCACTTGTCTATATTTCATAGAACAACCACTCAACTATGGTTCTTTAGGAAATTACAGAAAAAATACCCACTCCTTCTCCCCTGCATGTAGTTATGTATGACAGAGTGGACAAGTTTCAATTATGTTTGCAAATCTGACCATTACAAAGAGTAACTTGCAGTGAAGCACAGTCAGATTATTCAGCAATATTTACAGTCTATTTCTGTTCGGTTACCACACGGTCAAAACCAAAAATTTTGCCAAATATCATGAAGTTTCACACTGAGATTCAATGATAAGCTTCAATCCATCTTGCCAGAATCATCTAGCAGTAAAACTGAACATTCCAAGTACTTGTGGAAGTAGCACAACACCACATGTGAAGAACCTCCACCTTAATTCCAAAAGCAATCAGAAAGTTATTTTGGTACAAACTGAACTCCTCTAATTCAAATAAAACTCATTAAATATAAATGTTATGCATCCTTCAGACGTAATGAGCCACCAACCTCAAACTGTTTCTAATGCAGATCTCTCGATCATAAAAATAATTTAACTCTAGTTGGTGTTAAGTATGAAAGTAACTTTTCTTGTTTTCTCAACACTCCAAATCTGTATACTATCAGCAGTAAAAATCTGACTTGTTTATATTTAAATGAGGAAACATGAAAAGGGGAAAGAATGGAAAGCATAAGGGTAGAGATCAGATTGATTCACCAATATCATGGATATTCAAATACTTTACAGCGAGTTTATAAGAAGCAGTCGCACATCTAAGTGTTTTCATAACAAGTATTCACATCAGAACCAAAACCCAACAACCTTAACAACATGAGGTGGGAAAGATGCAAGACAAAAACATAAATCAACTTAGGGTTTGGTTTTTTAAAGCAACCTTTTAATTTAGAATTTGACACCAGAATTTTTAGTAAGGATAATAGAAGTGGTGAACAGAATTACTTTTATTCATGAAAGATTCAGAGATCTGTTAACTTATCTATAAACACACATTACATAAACTACTGTCTATTACAGGCGTAACTTCTATCACACTGGTCAAGACCTCAACAACTGCAGCACCTGTCAGAACACCGCATGTATCATTTACAGGTACTTCACTCTTTCACACAATTTTGTATTGTCTGTATATCTCTCACAGATGTACAATACGATGTTTTGTTCACAGCTGTAAAAGGTCTCAATTATTATTAATCCAGTTTTTAACAAAAGACCAAGTGGTATGTGTGAGGTTGCTTGTTTGTTTTCCCAAGTAGAAAAAAATTAATATTGGAGTTATCTGAAAAAGGTACTGTACTTCTGAGAATTCAAATAGAAATTTCCCACTAATACAAACACACTGTAAGAGTCTTCAGCTTGCCAGCCATTAACCAAAAAGCTAGCAGGTACAAAGTCTTGATCATACTGCACACGTAGCTTGTCCACTCAGCAAGGGATTTTATAGGGCTTCCACCAATTTATCACATTATCTAATCTCTGCAACCCCAGTTATGAGGCAGAAAACACCACCTTCAGTTATTTGATGCTCTTCACAGGATAGTAAGTAACATATTGCACAAAAGCAGCATAATCAGAGATGGAGCTCACACTTTGCCATTTTAGATCCTTTCCAGCACTGCCATATACTGCAGACTTAAGAGAATGAAGAGGAAGCATGAATGAATGCATGGTCAACATTTACATCGATACCTTAGGTCTCATTTGGAGAGGTAGAGAATATGTATTCAGACCAAAGATAGTGCAGAAATTATAATACTGCTAGTTTAATCCTGTCTTTTCACATTCCTTTTTTATAAGGGACACTTAAAGGACTTTGCAGCTGATTTAATTACTTAAACCGCATGCTCGTTTTCCTTGCTATACATATCACATTTCTGATGTGCTGTACTGTTTTAAAGTTTATTTTTTTAAAAAAGCTCACTGGAAATGAACTTGCCAGTCACATATTGTGAAGATCAGGTACTGAAGTTAGACATTACACTGCAAAATTAAGGAGAAGTTGATTTGAAACACCTAGAAATTTTTTATCCCTTCAAAGATATTCATAGGTATTAGTATTCCAGAGTTTTTAGATATTTAAACATGCTTACATTTACATGCTTCGCCAGTTTGTAAGCACTATCACTTTAAATTTTTTTATGGATATAATGAAGTTGAGTACTGATGTCCTAAACCTCTGCTAATGAAATCTCAAAGTAATTGACATGTGACAAATTAAACACCACAACTCCTCTGAGACAAAGTTGTTGGTCTTCTCCACAGTCCACTGGATACTCCAGGAAGTTACATGACTTATCCAAGAACATAGACTGAATCTGTATAAAAAGGAAGATCTAGGACAAAACAGATTTCCTTTACTTGGTCATTGTCTCTGAACAAACTATCTCTGTGCATTTTTATTCGACTATACAGGAACAGAGGTCACTCTCTAGAATTTATGTACAAACTACCCTTTACCGCAGGATGCCTTCTCTCTTCAGAAGAATAAACGATGATGCTTACCCTCATTTTTAGTTTACACAGTTTCAATACAGGAAAAATCCCGAGCAACAAGCACAAACATCTGTAGGAAAGAATGGAGGAAGTAACAAAATATTGATGTGCCTTTTTGATTTACTACGTAGTTTATAATGATAATGGTGTCTGGAGGCTTACAGTGCAATGATTAGTAGAATACATACAAGAGAACACAATTCCTCTAAGAAGTTTCTAGTTTTAAGAGACAAAACAGGAGACAGCAAGGAAACATAATAGTTTTCACTTTACAGAGATGTTCCACAAGACGGGGTTATGAAAAAAGCATTCTAAGTAACTAGTATTTGAAGTTCATAACATAATCATTAGACAACACTCTGAAAGAAGTAATTGTTATCAGTTTTTGCTCTAGACAAACCCATGCAATTCCTGTGTTTTATGTAGCCTAAAAGATCCATGCAAGTATTTTTTTCCACTAATGAAGCATCACTGTTGTCATTAATTATAGAATCAAGTGTTTCATCTTGCTCCCCATTTTCCTGCTCTTAAAGAACTTAACTCATGAGTGATTCAAACACTGTACAAGCAGAGTGTTGGGTTAGTGTCACTGAACCATCTTTATCATGCACATTTTAAGCAGTCCCTGAGTCAAACAATACACTAATCTCATATCAATCCAAGTGTGGATTACACTGATTGGTAAAGTAATAAAGAGCTTTTCCGTCTAACAGTGACCAGGTATATAGTGGCTGTAAGTTTAGCTTTATTAACTATCCAGCAGGGTTGTGTGAGATGACTTGGAACTTTCAATCTAGATCCTGTAAGACAAATATGCTTGTAGTATTATAATAAACAAATGCAAGTAGCAACCGAAAACAGTTATCTCAGCATATAAGGGACAGTATTAGATGAAGACTGAATTGACCCCTTGCCTCTAGAGATGATTTCTCCAACATTAAATTAGAAATTTTGAAGAAAGGGAGAAAAACGAACATGAGCAGCTGCTATCGTTACGTATGCTATAAACTGAACATTTCATTCTCCGGCACTTGTGATCTGTGACTTAAGTTGCAGTTTTAGCAATAAGCTGATAAAATTGAAGAGACACTGATCAAATTTCTCATTTTTATCACTTTCTTCTACTTCTTTTATATTTATTATGTATTGCTCCCTGTCCAGAGATCCCTCTCCAGTTCTTCTAAATTAGAATAATCCTATTGCTTTCTTTTTGCCAGCTGAGTTATTTTATTTCATTAAAAAACTCAAAACATATTAATTATAAGGGAAACAAGCTCCTAGTTAATTTTAACATATTATTCAACAATGTTTATGGATTTCTATATACACACAAATATTTACAATTAATAGTGTTTAAAAATATGCATATTTACTAATTTTACAGATTTCTTCTACTCAGTGCCCAAATCAGGTTCAGGGCCTTAATGTGACATCCCAACATCCTTCTGATGATGCCTTTTTCCTTCCAAAGAGCTTGCATTATGGAAAACACAGCCAGCTCCTTTCTGCTCCCCCTTCTGCCTGCTAAAACCTCCACAGCAGACATAGATGATACAACTCCCACTCTCCTGCCCAGAAAAGATGGTTGAAATAAAGAAAAACCATACAACACTGCATCTTTTTTTTCTTTGTTTGTTTTTGTTTCTTTTTAGTTTTGTTTAACTATACCAGTTGCATCAGGCTGCTTAATCACTGTCCACATCGATTCTTTTGAACCTCACATTTATTTCTGTGGACATATCTGCTCTTACCTAATTAAGATCTTGGCTCTCATTTGACATCAATAACAATTATGGGTTTCAATGAAGAAAATGAGTTACATTCTACTTTCCTGTTAATTAATACCACTTACAAAGACTTACATATTTGCTTAATTTCATATATTTTTGGTCCCAGCAGGTCTCCTAGTGGGAGACATTTACATTTACCAAAGTTAAGCACGTGAGGGTTTTGAATTCATGCCGACTGAGTTAGATTACAGTATCAAAATCTGACCATTGAATAAAATGCATTTAAATGTCATCCTAGTACATCTTCATTTTTTCTCCCTTAATTTTTGTCCCATTTTTTTGGGCACAATGGTGGAGTTCTTAACTCATATAAAGAAAAAGGTTTTCCTCAGGAAAGATTAAGAGATGAACTTATTTTCAAAGCAGCAACCTATACAGTCTTGTGTTTTAACCAGGCTCTAATATTAAATAATGCCAAATTATTCTAATGAAGTAAGCATCCTTTCCACATGGTTTTTAAAGAGAGAATTTCTCAGTGTAAATCTCTTCATTTTTCCATAGTGTAGAATATGACTTCAGACAACAAGAAGGAAGATTTCATCAGATTTTGAAAATGCTGGATCATGCAGAGCAAAATCCAGCTTCAGCTTCACCTCAGAAGCTACCATCTGATCATCCAGCTCCCGAGAAAAAGGAGTTAAGAAGAAAAACAAAAAAGGTGAAAAGAAAATGCTTCTGGTGGATTTGACTTCTTTATGAATTCTTTTACATTTCAAAAGACACTAGAACAGAAAGAGGTTTGAAAGCACACACCTGAAAATGTGCTATTACGAAATCACAAAGCTAAAGAATGTTTAATTAGAGTATCTAAAAAATCAAAAAAATTGAATTTACTTAAATCATCTCACTGAATAAAGGTGCATGAAGATACTATTTTCAAAAAGAAATTGTTTCTTTCAAAGGGAAGCCTTCTCATTTTTTCCAAGGACACTTTCCTATGCTTTGTAAAGACTTTTTTTTTCAACTTTCCAAAAATAACAAAGTTTAAATCTCTACTTTAAAAAACAATGGTAGACAAAGCTAACAGTGTCACACAGTCTTCATTTCATACTTATAAAGCAACATGGACTAAAAGGAAAGAACTTCATTGATCTTTAACCAAACCACATAATCAAGAACAAATTCTAGGGAATCTATGCCGTTCAAACAAATCTCTCCTCAAAGGAGACAATTACAATTATTTCACATGCCCACTGAAATATTTTTGATGCTGTCATCTACTATTTAACAAAAAAAAAAAAAAAGAATTTCAGGATAAGTTTTACTCTGTCCTTTCATTGGTTCAATTTAAAAAGCAACCATTTAGAAGTTTCAGCCATTTAATAGACTTCTCTGAAAAGAATCATAGAATCATAAAACAAGAGAGTATGTCGGTAATTCTAGTCTTAACCCCCTACTCAAGCAAGGTCCAATTAGGTGAATTTGAGTTTTGAGTATCTCCAAAGGCAAGAATCCATAACCCCTTGGGGCAAGCTGTTCCAAATTTTTTCCTAACAACTAATCTGATTTTCCCATGTGCTAATTGTTGTGTCCATTACATCTTGCCCTATCCAAATATACCTTCAAGAAGAATTAGACAGATAACAAGACCTCCCTCCTACACCTTCACTTCTTAAAGACTGAACAAATCCAATTTTCACTGCCTCTTTCCACATGTTATGTGCTGCAGCCCACAGTCATCTTGGTGGTCCCCCTCCAGTAAGTTGATGTCTTTCATCTACCTGGAAGCCTAAAATTGGACACAATGCCTCAGATGTCATCACGCAATTGCTGAATAGAGGGGAATAACCACTTTGGCTACTGTCTTGCTAAACCACTTGCTAAACCACTTTGTCCATTTAAGACCTGTATCACTATACCAAAATATCCCAAGATGTGTTTTTTTGGCCTTAAGATATAAGTAAGTCAATACACGACACAAAATTGACCATAAAAAATAATATTTAATTAACTTATCTGTATTATATCAAAAATTATATATGCTGAAAAGTTTTTATCAGATGTCAATGCAGCTACTCCTTTCCTTCAAAAATAGTCAAGTTACCAGCTAGCCAGGGGTATGCCAATGTAACCTAATTTAGGGTTGACGATACTACTATTTTGCTCATGAAAACACGGTCACCTTTCATATGAGGGGCAGAGGGGAAAGGGTTTTCTGAAGCAAGTTTAAAGGGCACACTGTAAAGCCCAATTAATGTGTTTTATGCTTAGTGGAATGTACTGCAGACCTTTCCTTAGAAGTGATTATGGTTAATTAGTTCAAATGGTGCCAGAGTATTCAGTAGATTAATGCCTGGATTCTATTTTTCTAAATCATATTGTGCTAATTGTCCAATGGTAGTTAAAAATGTCTGTACACTTTTTGTACCCTTCTGTGTTCCTTGAATTCTTAGGGTTAATTACACATTTGAAAACACATTAAAACAATTTTGCACAGAAGAATTTTGTCTGGAAGAACTAAGTTTTTTGATAAAACTAGTCTTCATTTAGAAGAGAATATGCTATGTGAAATGGCTTAATTTATCAAAATTCTAAAGGGCTGACAGTTTTAAAAAACATTTCCATGTTAAGTTCAGTCAGCACAGAAATGACAGGCACAAAATTATCATTATTTTAGAGGCTTTAAAAGCCTTAAATGAATTTTTACTAGCAAAAAGGAATTTACTAGCCTTTAGTGAGACAGAAAAGCTCTTAAATAATAATTTGTGGGTATAACAAAGGTAAGAATTAAATTATTACATCAGAACATGACATTATATTACACTCAAACACATATACCGCTTATGCTAGTATACCAACAACATTGTTATTTTGCATTAGTCTCTATAATTGATAGAATGAAGGATTTACTAGTGTGTAAATGTTTCTTGTGCATTAAAATAGCATTTTAAGATTAATATCCTCTGTGGTAAAGGTATAATAATAAGCAATACCAACAGGCATAACACTAGCAAAACCAGTAAGCTTTTTTTTCTGAACTGATTTTCAATAATTTGTTATTATATGAAAGCAATCTTTCTGTCTTTCTTTTTAATAAGCACAAAAAAGTTCATTTTAACCTGTCTGATTTTGGTTTTGCATACATAATGAATATGAAGCCTTCAATATATTTTCAAAGGATCCAGATTATTCAATTTAAACAAACCACAGTATTTTGGTTCACCACATAGCACCAATCAATTCCTGGGGTCAGTAAAACTATGCAAGAACAGAAATACTCTATTTAGTTTAAGAAAGTCCAACCAAAGATAGTAGTAAGGCTCTAAGCTCTTCTTATGACCTGAACAAACATCAATACTTCTGAAAAACTGAAATATACTGATGTAAATGGTTACAGGTTTTATATTTTAATGTCTGATCTTGATGGAATACAGAACTGTAGAAAATTTTTAATTCTTAATCTCCAGTCAAAATTAGCCTTGTTTTCCATATTCCTCAGTTTTTCAATTCTCTCTCAATCAGTAAAGTATGGAATATCCATACATGGATATGAAATTCTCTTTTTAACATATGCACACACAGCACTAGGGAAACACTTAAGGTATCCAGGCCAGCCAACTCTCAGCTCCCAATGCTGCAATTTAAGAACATTCACTTGTCTTTCAGCCTACCCTCTGTCCAGTGTTTTCAAATTCACCCCTTCAAGACATCTGCTTTCCTTGAAAGAAAATATTAAATTAGTGCTTCTAAAGCACTGTCCTTCAGAAAGGTTGCTCCTAGAGTTCTCTACTTCAGGACTTCAGTACAACAAAGGGGATTTTTTTTCAGTCAGCAGTATTAGCAACAGCCAGCCAAGCTCTAAAATATATATTTAAGATCCAAACAAAAGACTTATCTGAAACACAGACAGAACTCCCTCATTCTTCTTGCAGAGAGTCTGCTACCATGAACAAAAACCATGCAATAATTTAACTAAAAATAAAGTAAAAGTGTGCCAGAAGTAAATTATTCCTACAAAAGAATAAGTATCATAGTTTCACAACAAAACCACATCTACTAAATGCAAGAAGTTATTATACCCAGTCTTCTCCACAGTACATCACACACAATAGGCTTTCTACATAAAATTTTAAAGACAACATTGGAGCAAAAGGGTGCTCGTTACATTAAAAGGTAACAATAGGGAAGTGTCAGTCATGGTATGCATCAGCCACAGCAAGAGGGAAAGACTGCTTAGTTGCTATCTGTTTTGTTTAAACAAAGAAATTTGTATAACCTAGCAACACAAAATACCTAAAAATTAATAGCTTTGTAACACATAATTGGAGAATCTAAACTATGGGAAAATGTAATATGTAAGCACTGCTTTTTGGTTTATTGTTTAATATTTTAAAAATATTGTCATAATTAATTGTTAATTCCTATAGGAAATAAAAAACTTACGAGATACATACTATGCAATTTATGATGTCAAGATTGGAAAAGCGATAGAAATTGATAGATTGTTAGAATATAATAGTACTGGCTATAAAAATTTCTCTGATTTAGAAAATTACAGTGTAATGCCCAAAACCAGCTCCCAGAGTAGGAAATAAACGTTAAAAATACAAACATGCTCTTAAATAAAATTTAAAAAAAAAAAAACCAACACAAAAACCCCACAAACCAACAACAAAAAACCCCAAAACCACAGCTACTTGACAGCACTTGCATATAAAATATTGTAAGCTTCTCTGAAAGACGTATTTAAATGACAACTACAATATGCTATTTATAAAACATTGCACAGAACATGGCATATTCCAAAATTACTGTATTTGAAATTGCTGTTTTATGGAGTCAACCTAACTTTCTTTAAAAATTCAGAATATATTAATAAAATACTGATTTCTGTCTGTCATGTAACAGTAGTTCATGTAGGGCTTTTTATAGTTTTGTGCACTATACCTCTTTCAAAAAAGCCACAATACTTATGCTAGCTTAGATACAAAACATCTTCCTAATGAAATGTATTATCTAATGCATGTTTTGTACATTTAAGTTCTTTAAATGTGACATTATCTTTTGCAATAAAATCAGATCTTTTTCTTAGGAGTCAATTAATAACAAACAACATTCAGATTACAAAGGAAGTGAACAATTGTTCTTTGGAAAAGGAAAAAGAATCGGAAATGAATAAATAGGTCTTTTTTGGAATCATTCTGCAGCTTTTCTAGGTAGAGAAAGGATTTCAATTTGAATTTGAATACTGAATAAAAAAGCTGTAACTTTTAGCTAGACCATGTGTATATTTGAATATATCATATTCTCCAACCACGGCAGCTCTGCAAAATGGTTTCTCTGGTCATTATTTCCCCCAAAAGTATTGGTTTTTTGCAAAAGTATGCTATCTAGAGTAGCTTTGGTCAACCAAGCACACTGTTTTCTTTTCAGGAAAGTCTTTATTTGTACAATACCTTATATAAATATTGTCTAGAAACTTTTCTGTGTAGCATAACTACGCTCTTTTCATCATGCTAAACTGATATTGTGAAATCAAGTTTGGGAGTACCAAAGGAAAGCTTTAAAACGTATATGGTGGATTTATAACATTTTTGTTTACCTAACCAAGCCAATACTGAAAACAAGTACTTCTGTATTCTACATGCTCTTGTACGTTTTACTTCTATAAATACTGTAGTAGGACTTCACTGCACCTTTAACTAAAAGTAAATTTCATAAGTATTCAAGATAAAGCTTGAATAGCCA